TGTGTATATATATATAATCTATGTCTCTAGTGAATCTTAACTGATACACAGCCTGACCTTAGAGACCTCCAAACACTTTCTGCACTAGTGACTAGCACTGGGCAGAGTAAATGATAAGACATCATCTTTGTGGAGGAAGGAGAGCTATTGTTATTAGTAGGCAAGTACAGAGTTGTAAATGTTCCGTTAACTTTTCCCATGATGTCTCTTACCCCATGAATGAAGAGTATGTGCGACAGTCACTGCCAGCCACTCACTTGTCGGCTGAACACTGCCCTGCCTGTGTTCATTGCAAAATCAATGTTTAGGTCTTAGCAGTCTTAACATCATGTGAAATGTGGCTCTCTGTGGGATTTATAAACTGATTTAGAAGTGCTTTTGATTCTAGTAAAAATCTATTTTTACTTACTGTGAGCTAGCAATAGAAAAAGTAATCTCTGGAAAGATTCTAGATGCCTTGCAGGAAAATTTTATTAGAAAGGCCTGTATTTCTGTATCACGTGAGAAACTTCGGAGTATCTTGCTAAAGTGAGATCCTGTGCAGCATTTTAATTTAAATTTCATTACACTTACTCCCAGGAATTAATAAGACTTTTTGTCTCATAATAAACTAGTGGCTTTTCAACATCATAAAAAATAACATGCTTGAGAATAAAATTTATGTTGACACAAGTATTTTTGAAAGTGAAAGAAAACTTCAGAAATTCTGTACAACTCTCTGCTAAAAGAAAGAGTCTACTCCATACGATATTTTTGTTATATTTTATGTGGAATGAGCAAGAACATTTGCATTTTTAGGAGTCAGAAGGACCTCTAAAAACTTTCGAAATGTGCTGAAGTATGATTGGCTTCAATCTGTGTTGGCTCTGTATTGTTAGAATTTATTGAAATCTCACATGGACGAAAATGATGTTTACCTTTGTTGTTTTTGATGAAAGGATTTGTTAAACTTCCCACAATAAGCAAAGGAGAAAATTGTAAAGAAATTTTATCATTTTTATCTGCAAATGGAGTTACCAATTTCAAGTCGGTCTTTTTTCTACCTCTTATTAAAAAATCACAAGGCCTCCAACCAGGCTCACGGCTCTGATCTTCATCTTCCTAACAAATGCGTGTCTGAAGCACAGGCCTCTCCCACTGTGAGGGCTGCACCGTGTCTCCAGAATGTGTACTGAAGTCCTTATCCCCAGGACTTACGTATGACAGTATTTAGAAACAGGGCTTTAAAAAAGTAATTAAGTTGAAAGGAGGTCACAGGGGTGAACCCTAACTCAGTATGACGACTGTCCCTGAGGAGAAGTGATCGCGACCCTCACAGAGGGAAGAGTGTGGGCCAGTGAAATGATGGCCATCTGCAAGCCAAGAGTAAGGCCTGGGAAGTAGCCAGTCCTATTGCTGCTTTGCCCTTTGCCTGTAGGACTTCTAACATCCATAGCTGAGAAAATGAGCTGCTACTTTTCGAGCCCACCCAGGCGGCGGTACTTTGTTAGGAAAGCCCTAGTAAACGCTGTCAGGTCAAATCCCACAAGTCTGTGGATGAAATGGTTCCTTTCCCTTTCCCTTTCCCTTTCCCTTTCCCTTTCCCTTTCCCTTTCCCTTTCCCTTTCCCTTTCTTTGCCTCTTTCTCCCTCCCCCGCCTTGCGTGAGCCCTACCAGTGGACTGCCCGCTTTTACTCACAGCACCATCCCTGCTTTCCAACTTCATCAACGCCAGGAAACCACTTCTGGGTGAAGCTATCTTCTCTCTTGAAAAGTTGTCTAGTATTGCTCCCAGGCTCAGTACAGTCTTTCAACTGTATCTCCAGTTTTTCCATTTTTCTTCATTTCAATCCCTAGCCCCCGAAATAGCTGCATGACCACTTAGTCCTTAAAGCAGACAGCTACACCATTTGGACTCTTTTCCCTTGGCAAGCTTGGTTACTGTCCTTTATATCACGCATCGCTTCCTTCCTGGGAGAAGAGCTGTTCTGGTCTCCTAACTGGTTTCACCACTTGTATCTTCTCTTCTCCATGTCATTGTCATAGACTTAGGAAGGTAATTTTTCTAAAATACTGATTTTATACTACTTTCCCAGGTAAAGACCTACACTGGCTTCTTTTTTTGTATTAGATAAGAGTGTCTTTCCCTATATGTCAAGCCCTGTGTCAGGTGACCCTCCTTTAGTTGTCAAATCAGTGTCCTTCTCTCATCATCGAGTGGACTCTCTGTTCTTTCTTTTTTTTGGCACTAGGAATTGAACTCAGGACCTTGCGCTTGCCAGGAAGACGCTTGTGCAGCTGAGCTATATCCCTGGCCGTTAGACTCTGATTTACTCAAGCCATTTTCCTGATCTAACCCCCGCATCTAGGACACACACACACACACACACACACACACACACACACACACACACACCGATTTCCTCTTTTCCTCTAAAGGAAGACAGGCTATTCCTCTTCATGCTCCTTCCACCCAAATTCTACTTTTCTTTTAAAAAATTGCCTCTACAAAATCATCTAAAAGTGATTTAATCCCACAGTGAGCTTCTGTATAATCTTGGATTGTCAGAACTGGTAAGGACTTTTCTGACATTCAATATAACCTCCCATCCAGTTGAGGACTGCCTCTCATAGCATCCTGGACAGGTCCCGTCTCCCCTCAAACCCGTAACTGGACCACTACTCTGTGATGGGGTGTGAATGCAAAGATGAAAGAACAAGGGGCTTTCCCTCATGAAACTTGTACTCTAATTGGGGCCATAGACTAGCACTCCAATTACAAAGCAGAAAAAAGGAAAGGGCAGAAAAATTTACAAGGCAAATTTACAAATTTATTCGGCTCTGATGTGATGCTGGGGAGAAGCTGATTAAATGTAAGCACTAGAGGTGGTTTAAAGGGAAGGTAGTGATTCCTCTGCTTGCGGATTTGTGCATAGTACACCCAGCAGAGAAGTCAGAGAAGACATTCCCAGGAAGGGGCAATGTGGAGTAGTTTTTCTCTTTCTGAACTTTTCTAGTTCATATTCGTCTGATCACGATCGTGCCAACCTGCTCTTGGAGATCAACTTCTTGTTTACCAAGCATCTTGAGATCTTCTAGTTAGAAGGTACTATTTTTAAGCAAGGGGTTGTTCTCTGCTACTTTTGCATGCCTTACGTTGCTTGGTAGTATTAGGCACAAAATCGGAGCTAGTTTGTGTTTTAATGTAAGAGGATACTGGATATTCACTGTAAGTTAACATACATATTTTGAGTTACTTTATGCAGTAACAGTGATAATGGTTTGGCTGTGTTTGTCCAGCATTCTCAATTCTACCCATTTATGCTGCCTTGCGTCCAACCCCTGTATCCATCCTTACATTCACCTTTGTGAACAAAACTGTACGCCAACAAGATGACTGTGACCGTAGTGTCTTTGGCTGTGGAACGATGCACAGCTAATTGCGGTATGTGGGAATGGACGCTGTGTTCTCGGGCTTCCGGCTTGATGGTTAAGCAAATACATTGACCACCCACATACTGGTGTACATACTTGCTCATTGAATTACTTGAGTAACCCCTTTGTCATATGCTAGACATGATGTAATCACTCAGTGCTTAGTAAATCATAACAAAAGAAGTCTCTCCTTATCAGTGATGCTTATTAAGTCCTTTAGGTTCCTGAAATAGATCTGCTTCTGTGCTGTAACTCCGCGCAGTACTATTCTCACTCAACATATTCGGCTCTGATGTGGCAAGGTAAAATAAAATGGAGCATTTGGAGACAGTTTCTTGCAGGAGAAAAGAGACATGTGGCATTTTCTCTTTGTTAGTGGATGTAGCAGGTGAAATAATGTATTACGCTCTAGTTAGCTACTTTCTCTCTTTTTACTAGAACCCTTGATTTTTAGCTGTGAATGGGGTTACCCAAAGTAAATGTTCAGTTTTCCATACTATCTCAGAGTTCCCTGTAGTGATGTGACTAAATTCAGGGCAATGGATAAGGGAGGGAATGACTTAAGAAGTTGCTGGCTTGAGATTTTCAAGATGAGAAACTCACCCCTCCCTCCTGCTGTCACTGCGGCGCTGCTGGCACGTAACCGTCATGGCTAACTACCCTTACTGTGGAGAGGGGGCAGCACACTTGCAGTGGAAGAACAAGACAGAAGGAGCCTGCAGCCCTGGACTGAGTTGTTATGTCAAAGAAGAAAAATTGTCCTGTTTAGGCTGGCTTCTTTTAGGTCTCTAGTTCATCTGCTAATTACTACAGTGAAGGATAAAAAAACTCGTGAGGTTCACACAGTGTCAGCTGAGTGAGATGACGAGATAAGAAACATTGTTTTAAAAGTATTTAATGACTTTTCTCAAATCAGTACAAAAATTTAAATACAAAAATGATTTGTCATTAAGTCTCAAATCTATAATGGAAACTCCAGCAAGTTACCAGTCTCTTCACCATTCGTTGAGGTCTGTAAAATATTTGAGGACAGCCGCCCATTACAGACATTCTTTCCCCTGTAGATGTCATCTTGCATTCTAACTCTTTCAATAACAATATTGACAATTTGGTCCATTTCACATGGAAAAGGTCTAGTTTATTTTGAATTAAAAAGGGATTACACTACTATCCCTAGACTTTAGAAAATGTGGTTGTTCCATCTGCTTTTATACTGATTTGTTAGTATGATGTGCACCTCTTAAAAGGGAAAAAGGCACATAGATAATTATTTAAAACTGTTTTTAAAATTATATGGAGTATCATTTAACTCTGAGATTAGCACCATTGTAGAATACACAGTATCTGTCATAGATGTTGCTCCTCCTCCATCTAAAAGTTAGAAGCATATGCCTGATTTTATAT